AAAATGTAATGACGATGAGAAAACTTCAGAAGTTGCTGCAGTTTTACGTCAAAAAAAGATTAACTGTTCAAGCACATCGAACAAAATACTCCAGTTCAAGAAAAATGCAACTGCTGCAAATTATTCTTTCATATTAACTATTGCTTAAAGCGAGAGATTACGATAAAGTGCGTATGCAGCGTGGAAGTACATGCACCATTGGAAGCAGTAGTCAGGGGCCCAAGGAAACGAAATGTTGCGTTTTTGTGGTCAAAGGTGCGCTAGTTGCAGCGTACAAGGCTTGCCATTCCTTTCTGAGCCCCGCCACGGTCTGTGCTCCGCCCCCAGCAGCAGCGCCCTTCGATTGCCAATGTGACGAGATATTCCACTTCCAGAGTGTATCCTATAACTTTTCATGGGATGCGTGATCAATCAAAGCATGATGCTTGCTGAAATGATAGAGGCTATCAGCATAACATGTGCAAACGACCTCCTAATTGGTTGCTAGCTCGTCCATTATCGGAGGTCAACGGGCAAAGAAAGGGGTCCCATTTTGCGCCTTCTTGACGGATTTCTTTGCTTTTTTCGCCACTGGGGCATTATTCAGCATCCCCACTTCCACTATGAACCCAACCAATCTTATCGTAATCCCTCGCTTTAACTGAGGTTCCCCTCCGTACTTCCTAAATATCTTGCTCTGTTTTAGAACTGCCTGAAAATCCAGCGAGAACTACTTACCTGCTGAACATATTGCGGAAAAGAATCGCCGAGACTTCGGAAAATAGTGAGCAAAGCTTGTGCGATCTCCTTGTAGTACTGTGTAAACGCCTCGTCTTGAACCTGTCATGAAAATGTTTAACACATCAGGGTAAATGCAAGAATTCACGCTACAGTTAAGAGTGGAAGCCGTACCATCACCATGAGATTCGCAATTGTGATTGCAGGATAGAACTCCTCCAATGTGCACTTCTCATAATTATACCACTGAATTATATCTGAAGAAGAGAAAATGTGTGAACTGCACATTCTGACCAGATATAAAGATTGAAAAAAAAACAGAACAATTCGATCAGTCCCTTTGGAAAATTTTATCTACTTGACCTCAACTCAGAATCAAGAAGCCACTCAAATGCGTCTATGGTGTTAACTATTGCATACTATGGACAACCAACGTTGAAGTCATTGTTTTAATCCTTACAGAAAGCATAGTACGAACTCAGTTTCCAAGTAGAATGAATGCTTAGTTGAAATGAGCGAGTAGTGATCCCCACAGGTACGCCATTGGCCCACTAGTCATGCGATTACAATTAGTGATGGATTAGTATTGCTCCTTATCTACACAAATTGCAAGGGCATCTGACAGTGATACTACAAAAGAACATATAATAGTTGTAGAAAGCATATAAAAATAAATAGAACCTTGTCTAGGATCAGCAGCATCTCGTGCCATTGGAAGCGATAGTGCGGTACTAATGGAGGTGGCCGATTGAACTGCACCCGTGAAAACCTGGAGACATGGTAAGCCACATTCGAGGGCTAGCAAACTTTGAAAATAGCCCAATTCTGATAGATAATCTTTACGAAGGCGAATACCTTATGTGTGTAGGGATCCAATGCTCCAAGGATTCCAAGAGTTTTGATGGCCTGGCGGCGCATCCTCGACGACATTTCGGTCTTCAGGAGCCTTAATAAAGAAGATTAACACGTGTAGCCTTCGAATTCAACCAAAGAAGAACCTCAGCAAATCATCGAGAAGATTCGGATAGTCTTTGTAAGGATCGACAACGTATGCCGTGGAACGAGCAATCCTGCCTATTGTTCGCAAAGCAGCCTTAATGAGTATTCGATCAGAGTGGAAGTGGTTTCCTTTCCCCTATTTTCCTCTGTTATCGGGTAATCTATTAATCAAAGCGCCTCAATATCATAATTACCACTCCTCCCTCAGATATAATAGACTCAGTCGAGAACATGTAAACGAGTGGATCCCCTGATGTCTCCAGCAGCAGACCCCCTTTTTTTGAGGACTGAAACTGAGAAGCTCTACTGCTTATTTCACCCAAAATTCCTCCGTGA